CTTCGAATATCTTAGTCATATTTTTCGTCAATTTCTTCTTCTTCTTCTTCTTCTTCTTCTTCTTCTTCTTCTTCTTCTCCTCCTGCTCCTCCTCATCCTTCTTCTTCTTCTTGTGTTCCTTCAGGACGAGGGTGATCATAGCTCTCCACAATATAATGCCTTTTATAGCTCTTAGTAAATTTTGTTGTTTTGCCATCTCTCCTAAACCTTGTTCTGCCACACAAGGATCCTTAGGTAAGTTATGGGTTGTTCTCCTTTGACTCTCTTCCATTCACTATGTCCTTTTTTGTTTTTTTTTATCTAAAATTCGTCATTGGTCACGTGTTTTATCCATAATGTTCTCAGCATGCTTCTGCAGAACCATTCTGTTATTTGTTTTTCTTTTTTCATCTCTAACGGGATTATCAAATTCCCCCTGAAGACGAGGACTGAGACGAAAATTAAGTTCTTTAAAATTTCCTGTTTCTTAATATGTAGGTTTTTAGAACATTTATCATGGCTCTTCAAACCTTCCTCTGTCTGGCTGCCGGCCTTTTTTTTTCTGCTTTTTTGACTAAAAGATCGTTTCTTGGTGGTAGACTGAGATTCGATCAAGCTTTGACAATACTGTTGACCAGCTTTGAAACTAGGTTTTGGAAGGACCACTTCATCTGAGAAATTCAAACAATCCGGGTTTCCATCGACCTTGTCAAATATGTTTTGATTTTTAAGAATTTAAGTAAATAAGCCATACAAATAAAATTCGTTTTTGCTGTCACAATTGCGTCCTCTGTTAAAAGATTTTTTTTTTTTTGCATCTCTAGTTTGTAATTCTTATGGTGATTTTCCAAGCGTAGTTTAGATGTGGTACAAGGCCGAATACTTCCCAAATCTGTATGGACCACCCATTAAGGATCCCCACTCACTACTCATCGTAATTGTTCTAGCGAGACAAGCTCTTAACCCTTACACGTCGATGTTCATAACCATATATACTTTCTTTTTCCAAACGTAGTTTAGATGTTGCACAAAGTGGAAAAAAGGATCGAACTCCTTCTACTAGTCCATAATTGTTCTAGCGGGACAAGATTGCCAACTATTACACCACCGAACCATATATTTTGATTTTCTAAGCGCTGCTTGTGGCACAATGCTGAAAATATTACCATTGAATGAAAGAACTCACTACTCAGAAGTAATTGTTCTAGCAGGACAAGTTTGCAACCATTACATCACTTCAAGTTGACCCAATGCATTTATCACCGATATGGTGATTTTCTAAAGCATAGAATCAATGTGGCAGGGGGCCGGAAGGATAAGGAGGACTAGATGATGATATTTTTTGTTCTTATGTTAAGATCTTCTTTTTATTGACAATACTTTCGGTTGATGTTTAATGCCTTCTCCTTCCTTTCTACGGGAGTTCCTGTATTTTCTTTTATGAGTCTGCTATTAACATTGTGTCATATCTTATGTTGCAAAGATTATGACCACAATCATTCCTGGTGGTAATTCTCACTCTATCAGAATGACCTCACTGCAAAGTTTGAATAAATCTGTGGAGAAGAAACATCATTGTTTAAGCGCTTTTCTATTTTTGTATATTTACTGAATTGTTAACACTATTTATATTCGTACTATTATCATCAAATTTGTTGTTGATTGTTTTGTTTTGTTTGTTTAACGGCAACACTTTATGGCCATTTAATTATAAACTTAAGTTTGTTGGGAATTTTGAAGTAATAAAAATATATGTTCTGCTTTCACAGTTAAATACATGGTAGATGATACTCAGCTTTTGTACATATACAAGTTTGTGTACATGAATACTAGAGACAGTGATATATGTGTTTTATGTTGTAGTTTTGTTGAATTTATATTTTGGAATACAGTTCATTTCTTTAAGGAATTGTAGGATATTATATGGATTAATGTCATGAAAGAGTTCTTTCATGTTAGTTGTTTGGTTGATTTTCTTTCGTGGCATATCAACCTGCAGGGGTTATTTAATGTTGAAATCTAAATACGCAACTGCGTGCCTTCAACTGTAGTTAAAATGTATTGTTGATAACTTTACTATGAATACGTATTACTAGAAGCTTTGAAGTAAAAAAAAATGTTATTTTGATTTCACATTTAAATACATGGTAAATGATAGGTTTTGTGCCTATACATGTTTTTGTGGACATAATTACTGGAGGTGGTGATATGTGTGTTTTATTTTGTACTTTTGTTGAATTTATATTTTGGAATACATGTTGATTTAAGAAATTGCAGGCTATTATATATACTAGCAGCATGGCCCGGCGTTGCCCGTGCTTGTTTCAAAAATCGTATGACTCATACAGCAATCGCTATCACTTGACTTAAAATATTTTTGCCCTTCCTTGCTTTTAAAGGGTGCCCTTTGCCGTGCTGATTTTGCTACATGCCTTACTTCTTGCCTATCTCACACTGCAAATTTTTCTAAGCTCTATACTAAACATTAAATCTGTTACAAAAAAAAGAACTAAACAAAATGAACACAAAACGATCAGCTTTAAAAAAGACTCGAAAAAAGCCGAATGAAAAAGAATGTTAACAAAAATACTTTTTCACACCCAACCCAGTTCTGCGGAATCAGAATCAACGTTGAGTTTAAGCAAGCGAATAAGCCAATTGGAGTAAAAGTGCCATGCAGATTTAAATTTTTCCCACTTGTGACGAATGCAGCTATCGATTTTTTTTTTTTGCATGCTAGCATGCTAGTTAACATTCGGGTCAGTCAGCTGTTGGCTCTCACGTTGGCCAATAGAATCTTCCTGCCTATTCGTGGCAGCCATCTATAGGCTCTCACTCTGGCCAGTACAAAATGGCCGCAAACTACATGAAAACTGCCGTAGAAGCATGAAAAAATCGATTATTTCCACTATCGATGGGAGTTGGGAAATGCAATGTCAGTTTTGGCCTTCCCGCTAACTTGGAGCATGTGCATGTAAATTTTGGTGCAAATCCGTCGAAAATTGCGGCCGTGCATTCGTCACACACACACACACACACACACACACACACACACACACATACACACACACATCATCCTGCCTTTTATAGATAGAGATTAATGCCCTGAAAGTGTTCTTTCATGATAGGTGTTTGGTTGGTTGATTTTGTTAAGCGACATATCAACATCTATGTGTTATTTAATGCCGAAAACTAAATATTTTGAACATAATTTTATGACTTCAACTAAATATATTTTGAACATAATTGTATGTATTCAACTGCAGATAAAATTTATTGGTGGACATTTTATTATTAATATGTACTGATGGTAATTTTTATACAAAATATATTACTGATATTTCCACTATAAAAATATTTTTTATACTTTCATAGTGTTTTTGTTTATGGAATTCACTATTTTCCCATAGCTGGGACCCTAATAGATGCTACCATCCCGGAATATGGTGGACCTGCCTACAACAGCAATTAAGATGTCTAATCTTCCGCCTGTCTACGAAAATGGAAAATATTTCAACATGACACTGTTTTTTGTCCCACATTACGATTTGATTTATTTCTTTAATGGCATGTCAATCCGTCATGGTTCATTTTAAATTTAATTTTCTTGGGAGCTTTAAAGTAAAAAAAAAATATGTTATTTTGATTTCGCAATTAAATATATGGTAAATCATAGGTTTTGTGCATATATATGTTTGTGTGGATATAATTACTGGAGGTGGTGATATCTGTGTTTTATGTTGTAATTTTGCTGAAGTTATATTTTGGAATACAATTTGATTTCTTTAATAAATTGTAGGATATTATATGAATTAATGTCATGAAAGAATTCTATCATGACAGGTGTTTAATTGTTTGATTTTGTTTAGCGACATGACATCTATGCCGAAATCTAAATATTTTGAACAAAATTTGATGGCTTCAATTACAACTGAAATGTATTGTTGGTCATTTTCCTATAAAATGTATTGTTGGCAGTTCTATTATAAAATGCATTGCTAGTAAGGCTACTATAAAAAATATATACTGCTTGTCAATTTACTATATGTATTGTTAGTAATTTTTGTATGAAAATGTATTACTGGTATGTTTACTATAAAAATGTATTTTTATTCTTTCATAGCTTTTTTGTTTTTGTTTGGGGGTTTACTATTTGCCCATAGCTGGGACCCTAACAGGTGCTACCACTCTGGATTAGGGTGAACTGGAAATAACAGCAGTTAAGAGGCGGTTTTACACTACTCACAACCGCCAAACACCCGATCAGAGACCTTGCTACCGGATGTTGTTTATAGTCATACCCGGGACTATTTTGATGAGTTGTTATTTCCATAATTTGGACTAAAGTCATATAGTCCAAATTATGCAAATAACAACTCGTCATCGCAGAAATTCAGACAGAAATTTACCGAATTCATTTTCTATCCGTATGCAAGCGATTTGCTCCCAGTATAAATTTTAGATTATTCTAATAGGCTTCTCAAACGACACTTCCCCAAATAGTTGAATTTCTAGGCCTGTTTAATAAACGTGAGATGTTATTAAGCTCTTTTGATTGTTTTGTTTGGGTATTTCTTTGTTGCGATTTGGTTTTTGATGTTGTTTCGTTTTTGTTTTTGTTTTATCTTGTTTTTTTTAATTGCTTTCTTTTCTTCGTTTTCTTGTGCTGTTATTATTTGCCACCTTCAAACAGGCAGTAACGTGTTGTTTTCCAAATGCTTGGGTTCCGTTCACGGCGCATAAAAGCAGCAGATCATGACAAGCGCGCGAAAATGATGGTGGAGGAGAACAGCGGTTTACGTTAAAAAAAAATTCGACAAGAAATAGGAGGATAAAGTGGGTAAGGAAAAGAAAATATGAAAGAGGGAGAAAAGTCGCGATAGAGTTAGTAATGAGCTTGCTATTTATTTATTTTATTATTATTATTATTATTATTATTATTATTGTTATTCTTTTTAATTTATTTTAGTTCCCCCTTTATATTGTATGATTCTTTTTTGTTTTCTCGTTTTTTTGTGCTGTTAGATTTCATTACTGGGTCTGTGGTAGGGACTAAAATAATAAGGTATTGATGTGTATAGACTTGTACCGCCGACCAGGACATAGCACCGGGTGGCCAAATGTACAGAGGTACCTGGGACAGACGGGAAAGGTAGAAGTGTAAATAAGGAGAGAAGCAAAAGAAAGAAAGAAAAAAACAGAAGGGAGAGAAGGAGAGAGAGTGAAAGAGAGGGAGAGAGAGATTTTAAACGAATAAAGACAAGAAAAGGATGAAACGGGGGAGAAGAAAAGAATAAAACATGCACTAGAAAAAGAGAAAAAATTGAAATAACGAAGATATGAAAAGAAAGCAAGAAAGAAAGAAAGACACAAAGATCTGAAAGGAGAGATATAAGGAGAAAAGGGAAAAAGAAAGAAAGAAAGTAGAAAAATAGAGAAAATGTTAAAGAAAGAAAGAAAGAAAGAAAGATGTTAAAGAAAGATGTTAAAGAAAGAAAGAGCTGAAAGGAAAGGTATAAGGGAAAAAGGAAAAAGAAAGAAAGAAAGAAAGAAAGAACGAACGAACGAACGAAGGAAAAAGAGAGAATCTTGAAGAAAGACAGAAAAATGTTAAAGAAAGAAAGAGTTGAAAGGAAAGATATAAGGGAAGAAAGAAAGAAAGAAAGAAAAAGAGAAAATCTTAAAGAAAGAAAGAAAGAAAGAAAGAAAGAAAGAAAGAAAGAAAGAAAGAAAGAAAGAAGAAAAATGTTAAATAAAGAAAGAATTGAAAGGAAAGACATAAGGAAAAAGGAAGAAAGAAAGAAAGAAAGAAAGAAATAAGGAGGAAAGGAAGGAAAGAAAAAGAGAATAAGAAGAAAGAAAGAAAGAAAAATGTTAAAGAAAGAAAGCGATGGAAGGAAAGAGATAAGGGAAAAAAAAGGAAAAAGAAAGAAATAAATGAGGAAGGAAGAAAGGAAAGAAAGAAAGAAAGAAGGAAAAAGAGAAAATCTTGAAGAAAGAAAGAAAGAAAGAAAGAAAATCTTTAAGAAAGAAAGCGCTAAAAGGAGTGATAAGGAGAAATACAAAGAAAACGAAAGAAAGAATTCCAATAGGGAGAGAATAAAATGACCAAAAAAGAAAGAAAAAAGAAAAATGGGTGTAGAGATAAATAATAACAACACCCGTCCAATGGGCGACGTGGTCCTTGTAATGGGTTATTTAGACATTGTACATTTTACAAAGATAAATAAACAATGCGAGGCCAAGGAGTTCTTGTCTGAGTGAATTAGAGACGGTCGGAGAGCGAAAATCTAGCAAATGTAGTAAAGAAAGAAAGAAAGAAAGAAAGAAAGAAAGAAAGAAAGAAAGAAAGAACGCGAAATATATTGAAGCGGATAGAAAGAAATAAATAGAGAGAGAAGGAAAGAAAGAAGGAAAGGAAGTAGGAATGAGAAAAAGGAGATATATTGAAGCGGATATGTAAAGAAAGAAAGAAAGAAAGAAAGAAAGAAAGAAGGAAAGAAAAGAAAGAAAGAAAGAAAGAAAAGAACGCGAAATATATTGAAAGGATAGAAAGAAATAAATAGAGAGAAGGAAAGAAAGAAGGAAAAGGAAGTAGGAATGAGAAAAGGAGATATATTGAAGCGGATATGTAAAGAAAGAAAGAAAGAAAGAAAGAAAGAAAGAAAGAAAGAAAGAAAGAACGCGAAATATATTGAAGCGGATAGAAAGAAATAAATAGAGAGAGAAGGAAAGAAAGAAGGAAAGGAAGTAGGAATGAGAACAAGTGAGATATATTGAAGCGGATATGTAAAGAAAGAAAGAAAGAAAGAAAGAAAGAAAGAAAGAAAGAAAGGAAAGAAAAATGTGAAAGAAGATGAGAATGAAAAAAGAACAAAAGCGGCTTTAAGAGGATGATAAGAATAAAGAGACGACAGAGTGAAAGAAAAACAATGAAGAATGGATCAATGGAAGAAGAGGAAATAAAAAAAATGGGGAAAATACGAGAACCGGAAAAGCAAGTTAGGATTCGTACTACAAGGGAGTTTTTTTTTTTTTTAAGCGTTTCACTCCCAAGCCAGGCGGGAAGCCACTAAAACGCAAGGGGTTACAGAAGATTTGGAGCAAGATCAGATAGAAGTGATAGAGGAAAGGATGAGGAGAAGGATAGTGGATAGATCAAGGCAACCGGAGATGTCAATTGACATTATATTTGAATAGTTGGAGATTATAGCTCACAGGGAAACTGGAATAGGTAAGGGAGTTCCACAGGCGAGAGGTGCGAGATATGAAGCTATTGGAGTAGAAGAGACGGCTACATTTAATAGTTTCAACAGTGAAAGGGTGAGAGCGGGATGCCAGCCTCGTAGGGCGCTTGAATTCATGAAGTGTGGGAACCGCGAATGCAGCTCCTCGGAGCAATTACCATGAAATTATTTGTAAAAAAGACAGAGATAGGCGACGGCACGTCTGTGAGAGAGCGACTGTAGACGAGATGCCAGAACAGGGCCAATTATATTGCATATCCGCCTCTGGAGCTTATCAAGAACCCCGAGACAAACAGAAGGTGCTCCAGACTATATATGGCAGTAATACTCCATGCAAGGGCGAATTGTTGATTTGTAGATCTGGAGGATCGATTCCGGGGAGAAAAATTTCCTGACGTGCCACAGGGAGCCAACGAGTACTGGAAAATTATCGGTGTACGTATAAGAAAAAAATGTTCAAATTTGCCTTGTAACAATATAATCAAGCTGTTAACTTTTCACACTTTAAAATGACATGGTCCTTCAGAACATAGATGGTCATTACCATCCATAGCTTCATTTCCTTTATTTTCTATAGATTCCCATGCCTTCCTGAGAAAGGTGGATTATTTCCCTGTTGCCTTCTTCACGAATTAGATGTTCTTCACTTAGATTAGTTACCATTTGTTGTTTGTGAGTCTCCTCAACTCTGTATATTTAATCCATAGCTAGGGGGGATTAGATGGTTTCATGCCTTTAATCAAACTGTTAAATTCCTACACTTTTAAAATACTATATCCCTTCAGGACATTTCCACAGATATTTTACTTTATTTTCCGTGAATTGCCATGCCTTCTTGAAAAAGCTAATGGAGCGATTTCCATTATTTTCTGAAAGTTTTGGAATTCAGATTTGTATTTCTCCTAGATCTGTTACCACTCAAAGCTAGAGAGCATACCCTACCCTAATATTAAACTCAGGAAAGAATATACGGATTCATGCCATTTCTAAAGGAAAAGTGAAAGTGAACATAACAGTCTAGGTCCGAATTTGAATGTCGCTTTCAGCAATAATAACAGGCTACCCGAATAACAAAATTTGCACACTGTCTCTTCTGTATGTGCGGTATCTCTTCAGGACGTAAGTGATCATGGTGTAGATCATACTGGGCTCAAATAAGGCGACGAACACTAATATATATATATATATATATATATATATATATATATATATATATATATTGTTCGAGTTGCGGGGAATGTGTAGAGTGTTGTGGAGTTATTTCGCAGTGGAGGCTTGTATTTGTACTAAATCGGTCCTAAAATAGGTTCGATATGCAAAACTTTAGGAACTTGATATAATAGGTATTACGCAGAGTAATCTTGTTGTGGTCGCTGGCTACTTTCGTATTCGACTAACTGTCGACTACTGTCGTCCGACATCGACTAGTATTTAGTCACCCCGCCACGAGGGTATCATGTGGCACAAGGCCGGTTTAACGTGGTATCTCCGAGCCTGTGGGCGCGGCCAGAAATATACCCTTTGAACCCGTATAAACGGGTTCAGGGTCGGTTTATCTTCCCGAAAGAGACTCGACCCTTCGGCAAAGCTTCGTTCGGGTTCCTCCCCGTCCGAAGGCAGAGAGTTCAACCGTTCAGCCGGTCGTCCGACATTGACTAATATTTAGTCACCCCCCCCCACACACACACACACCTACGAGGGTATAATGTGGCACTCGGCCGGTTTAACGTGGGATCTCCGAGCCTGTGGGCTCGGCTAAAAATATGCCCATTACACCCGTATAAATGGGTTCAGGGTCGGTTTACCTCCCCGAACCAGACTCCGCCCTTTATTTCCACTAATTTGATTACAATTCGGTCATTGTACCCTGAATGTTTTCTGTATCGTTTTATCGACGCGGCTAATTTTACCATTACCAATAACATTTCTGCTTTAGAAGCCCACACAGAAAATCTAGAGTCTCTTCCAAGATTCAAAAACACAGTGGAAGTCCTCTTTCTGCATATATATATATATATATATATATATATATATATATATATATATATATATATAAGGTTGTTGACTGACAAATCAAATTAGCCTTAACGAAATTAAAAAACACATGCGCTATCACCTTGATACAACAATTAACAAAAATAAACACAACATTAACTTATTCAATTGTAACTAGATTCCCCTTAATTATAAACAACATAAAAGGCCATTTAAAACATAATTCATCGCCACGTATCACTTAACGATCCCAGCAAACAAAAACATTTACACTACAGTAAACGATAACTCTAAGATTGCTACACAATGTATTTAATCTAATTATTGCCAACTACACGGAATCTCAAAAATGCCACTATGTAAAAATAATGTTATGAACTCTGGAAGATTGCATCGCCAATATCAATAATCAAAAAACAGCATTAAATTCATACATCGGCCATATATGCACCTGTAATTCATACGTATATTTGATCAATATATCACGAACGACCAAAATACAACTATCATCTTATGAAGAATATCAGCGGATAATATTAAAATATTGTACAGCAGCCAGTGCAAGGAAAGACTCAAAATCCTAATAGCCATTAAATTAAATAACTTTCAACTCATGAGACGGTATCTGGGATTTTGTATAAAATAATTAATATGCGTAAAAACAAAACAAAACAGAAAAGAGCGCATAATATTAATGCATCCATTTTGTACGGTCTTGCTCCCTTTGACCGTCACACATGACGTCACTGTTGACTGTTTAAACTTTCAGCTCTCAATAAAAAAAAAAACAAGGTTGCAGTAAAAGGAATCTTACCTACTATAAGAAAGGTTATTGATAATTACTCAATTGGTCACAGAAATTACTTGAACAAAAAACACACAACAAACATGATCTTTGGACAGTTTATCCACAATTTCGATCCGAATATATATGTTATTCGAAAATTAGAAATGCAATAAAAATTATACAAAAGACCTTATCGCTCGAATTTAATCAAACTTGTTAGTATGTATATATATATATATATATATATATATATATAAAAAAGAACATAGAACTCAACATTAGGGCGACAGTCTGTTTCATGCTAGATGCTCGTGGCCTGACGATTGCATCTAGCATTAAACAGACTGTCGCCTCTAAGTGTTGACTTCTATGTTCACTTTTATATTTACACAGGCTCTATCTCTGATATTGTGCACTTTATCCTATAAATTTAGCACATCTTAAGACTATATTTCTTCATATATGTATATATATATATATATATATATATATATATATTTGTTTAAAAATATGATTCCTTCGCGACATATGAGTTCTCATGTTTCAAAAACGAGAGCCGAAGCCATCCAAATAATTAATAATAAAAATCCAACGGCTCTCGTTTTTAAAAACATGAGAACTCCTAAACAAAAAAAATATTATTATAATAAAGCTCTACTTCTGTATGGAGCACTGTCTTCTTAAAAATGAAAACAAAAATACTAAGGAACTCCGGATCATGCACCCAACGTGTTTTTTTCTATTTTCCGCATACCTGCGCACACATATATATATATATATATATATATATATATATATATATATATATATATATATATATCGATTGAATTTAATGAAACTTTTTTAGGATATTATATATATATATATAACAAGTTTCATTAAATATAAACGATATATATATATATATATATATATACACACATATATATGTGTATTTGTCTGTATGTATATATATATATATATATATATATATATATATATATATATATATATAATCAAACTTCAAGTTATATATATATATATATATATATATATATATATATATATATATATATTGCCGAGGAGTTGTCTCAACAGATCTAAAGTTTAAGAAAATAATACAACAAACAAATAAATAATAGACGAAAAAAAAAAGGTCGAAAGATGTCTGGCCGGTCAAGGTTGGTACTGCGTTATTGACTTTGTTGTCAACGTGCGGACCTGATACATGAGACGTTTGGCCAGCCAGCCAGCTAACCGGACATCACCCACCCTCATCATGGCCACAGCAACCGACCAGCCGGTTAGACAAGCTGTCTATCTATCACAGCATTAACGCTAACAATAACACCTTCAATATACAATTGTACGCCGCACAAACTTAATTCTGTACGACGCAACGACGTCAACACGATTGTAAGGAGGTCGGTAGGCATTTTGATCCATATAGTATGGTGATAAAGCCGGTAGTTGTGAAATCACGTGCTAAGTATACAACCTATATACAAAATATACACAACGGAATAAATGTTACTTTTTAGTTTGAGGTGTAAAAGAGAGAACTGCAGCCTTTGAGGCTTGCGTTTGTTTCGAATGCACATATGATATTTATTTGATCTCCCACGATGATAAATCCGATATATAGTCTTTTTATGTCGTATATCCATGATAATGGCATGGTGAAATTAACCGTTACCATACAGGAAACTATCGACTTTCATTAATTAAATAATTAGTGTTAGCCTTAAGTATTTGTCTATATTTCTGAGATGAGGTATTAGGTACATTATTTACATTATTCGGATTATTGTCCTCATCTTTGTCGCTATATTTATTACAAAATTTCGGCCGTTGTTGGTTGGAATGTCGAACTGAACCCTTTATTTCGCTCACTGGAGTAGACTGTTCTAGTCTAATGAATGTCAGCTATCATTTATCTCTTGTTAATTACAATCTCCAAGTTCTCCACCGCCTTAACCAGGTATTGAACTCACACTGTCACTGGTCCTCGAGGACACATGGCACAGTGGATAAAGGCGTTAGATAGATCCAGTAACAGGACCCACAGAGTGTTGGGCTAGTTGTAATCCAAGCTTATAGAACCCGGTCTGTCCTGCTATTTACCCATGGCTGGGGGGGAGAAGAGAATTCATACCTTTACCAAGGGTAAGTGAATGTAATGGAGTCGACTGGAATTCGAACTCAATCCGAGCCGCTATCCATTACTCCACCGTAATCAATTCACCCCAAGCAAGGCGATAATGTCACTAAGATGCAAAGGGCTAATGCGAGTGAAAGAGAATGGAAAAACTTTAGAAGTAACCGGAAACCCAGTCATGAACAGGAAATAAGTGATTAACCTCTACTCCTGTTCGGGGAGGAGTTTGAACCGTACATACTGATTAGAGTTTCCTTCCAAATATTTTAATTTTAATAGTGCCGTTAGTTAACAGCTTAACACACACACACGCGCGCGCACACACACACACACACACACACACATCATTATTCTCCCGTCCAGGAAGAAAATAAAGTACATTTAGATTATAGTAAAATGTGGGGTCTGTATTTCTATGCAGTTTTGGTTTTTTATCTGTAAGACATGAGCAGCCTTTAGCATTCTATTCAGCATCATTCGTGGAGGATTTGGATAATTTGATTTTTAAGCTCCGCGCTAAATATGTGATAAAAAATTGCCGAATAGTTATATTTAGGTGTAAATGTATATGCTTAATTCGGAAATAACAAAGAAATTTTGATAAACGTTACCGTTTAGAAGTTATCGACAATAGAAGTTCGGACACATTCACGTTACGACACGGAAGCCATTACCGGCGTTGTTTACAGATATTTGCTGCAGAATAACCTTTTTATTGCCCACGCAATGAGTCCTTAGTTGCGCAATAATTCAGTGAAATAAGAACCGTAAAAAGGCCGTTAGATTCATAAAATGTTTTACATTTCTATCGTATTAATACGAGGAAGGCTAACAAGATGTTTATGTAAGTTGTAAATTTTTAAAAGAATTTAAGTTTACCATAATGGACACGCTCATTGTTCAATTCACTCCGTGTATCAACAACTCTAACATAGCGTAGGTGAAAGACTTGTCTGTAAATGTAAAATAATAAATTGTGAACGCTTGGAATTCATGAATAAGTTTTGGAGCAGTAGGTAAGTGGCTTTCAGTACCAAAATACACACATATATATATATATATCAGTCAGTTATGTGCCATGCGTAATACACGCTTAGGCGATAATCTATCTTTTGATACATGACGAGGTAGATTTTTCCGCAGTAGGTTGCCATTTCTTTCTGCGGTAGACCAGTTGCCATCCAAGGCTATAGAAGCCGGTCTGCCCTGCTATTTATCGATAGCTGGGGGAAAGAAGAAAAGGATTCATACCTTTCTCAAGGGTATTACCACGTAAGTGAATGTAATGGATTCGACTGGAATTCGAACTCGGCTCTCCGATTACCCATTACTCCAACGGTATCCATTACTCCAACTTATTGACTGGCTAGGAGATGAAAGACAACGGCGAAAAGCCTCAAATCCTCTCTGTTTCACAATATGTGGATTTGTATACAAGTCATTAGCAAGACTGAATGGTCACATACGACACAGACATAAAAATTTAATAAGGTTGTAGGATCCTAATACGTTAAAATCGACGGGAGAGACCATCATCATCGTCATCATCATCATCATATATACTAAAGAAAAAACAACTACCAACTTGCCAAAAAACTTAATATCTTAGACAAGAGAAAGAAAGATCAAAAAACAAACACCTGCCTACTCAGTAAAGGGCTCAACAGCCTGATTACCTGGACAGAGTAAAAAACGCTTCATAATGTTAACTCCTGTCAAAGAACAGCCTGAGTCGTTACTCGAATTACACGTTCTCGCGATTTTCTTACGACTGCCTATATATATATATATATATATATATATATATATATATATATCTATATATATATATATATATATATATATATATATATCTCAAACTAAATATATATATATATATATATATATATATATATATATATATATATATATATATATATATCTGTGTGTGTGTGTAAGCACTTTTGTTTAAAAATTGCGAACAAGGAAAGAAAAAAGAAAGACTAAAAAACAGATGTCTACTCAGTAAAAGGCTCAACACCCCGATTACCTAGACAGAGCAAGAAACGCTTCATCATGTCAACTCCTGTCAAAGAACATCCTGGGCCGTTACTCGAGTTTCACGCTCTTGCGATCTTCAGATGACTAGAACGCAACTGACAGAAATGGGGGGGGGTCTAGCTTTATATACACGTGGCTATAACAAACCTAAGAAATGTTTTTTTTTTCTTTTTTTATCCACAGATTTGTGTTATAATCAATGTAAGAACACGACGACTCTCAGCGGGCATGGAAAGGTACATACTGTCAATCCTGAAAACACGGGATATTAATACAGTGTAACCCGGATATAAGAGACCCGGATATAAGAGAAACCCGGATATAAGAGAGATTTTCTCTGGTCCCAAATTAGAGCCTGTGTTAATGTATATAAAATAGACCAAACCCGGATATAAGAGAAACCCGGATATAAGAGACTTCTTCTCCGGACCCAACAACTCTCTTATATCCGGGTTACACTGTATATATTTTTAAAAAAAATGGTTTATTAACACTGTAAGAGAGCTTTAAAAAGCCTTTCTGGCTTTCAAAGTCATTGCAGAACACATTAGAGAGCATCTGCAGCAGATGCGCAGTTATAATGCAGAATTTGTTATACTCGAAATCAAGTGGATAGCTACCAAATATATAAGTAATACCGACACATGGCACAGTGGATAAAGGCGTTGGTTAGATCCAGTGACAGACCCAAAGAAGGTGAGTTCAATTCCTGGTTAAGGCAGTGGAGAACTTTCAGAGGGAAAATTAGCAGGAGATAACTGATAACTGACATCCCTCAAACATGGCACGTGGAATTAGAACAGTCTACCCCAGCGATCGAAATAAAGGGTTCAGTTCGAAATTCCAACCACCTGAAGAAGGCCGAAGCGTACAACGGCCGAAACGTTGTGACAAATATGGCGACAAAGATGAGGACAATAGTCCGACTAATGTAAATACTGTACATAATACCTCATCTCAGAAATATAGACAAACTCTGAAGTAATAGCGATTTAATAAGCGTAGCTTAGATGTGGTACAAGGCCGAAACTAACGAGAACCCGGTGAGAATCGAACTCACTACTCAGTTGTAGCTGAGAAGTGCGGGTTTGAATGATGGTTTTGTAAGAGTGGCTTAGATGTGGTACCAGTACCAATGAGGATTAAACTCAGTAATCAATAATATTTTTTCTAACGAGACAATTGTTAATCATTTCACCAGGTTGAGATGTTCTACATATACAAATAATAGCTGGCTAATCGCTTCCGAGTATGCTCATCTACGATGATGGCGAGTTAATCTCTGTTGCATACACATGCTCGGGCACATTTATGTTTCTTTAACACTTACAGAGCCAACTCGTGATTTATACTGCAACTCTACCGTAATTAGAGAGAGAGGGCGAGAGAGAGAGAGAGAGCACGTAATCTCGCGTGATCATAGTTAAACAAGGCCACTACGCTCGAAGCCTCGATTACAATCACATGTGAATTCGTGCATGTGGTTCTACAGAAGGATGCTGAGAATACCATGAAATCAACTTGTGAGTGTTATAAATTCATGACGGTCGTCTTCGAGTATAGAATCCAGAGGTTAGCAGTGAATATTTCGGAGACAGTAGGAAAGCGTAGTTCGGGTTAGCAGTGGATATCGCAGCAAAGTAGCAGAGCGTAGTACTTCCTTCTATTCATCTTCGCCTGACAAGTTGGCACTGGTCATTCGGGTAGAGTAGAGTAAACAAAAATGGCCGCCTTTATACACGACGAATTGAATGTTCTACGTCTTCTGATTGGTTAACCTTCTATTGGTAGACTATAAAGCGAGTCACGGCATTTGGACTAACTCACTAGTTACATAATACATACATATACACAAAAAACTGTTACAGTGAGCAACGACGAAGTTTTATAGAGAACAGAAAAAAGGGCACTTATAGCTAACATCAGAAACAGACTGTTGAAATTTCAACAGCACATAATGATCGATTGATTCGTTTTCTACGGCTTATCAACCAGGCTATTTTAAAGGCATAAAATTTCTAGGGCACATAATGTGAGGGCCTAGAAAAGTTTGCATTTACTTAAAGGCAAGAGGGGCAGAGGAAAACAGTTCATAACCAACCTAAGGAGCTTGTGTAAATAGAGGGAAGAACAGGGATTAAGAGAGAGAGAGAGTAAAACGACAAAATTTGCTATAAACTAAAAAAGACGGTGAATTGTGGAGAGTAATGATCGGCCATGTATTGAAAGGACTCGGAA